GGGGTACCTGGGCAGGGAGCCGGTGGGAGAAGCAATGCTGTCCCATTGATGCAGCCCCTTCCCTCTTCCAGGCGTGTCTACAAGGAGCACCTGGGCCTGTCACAGAAGGTGGCCATTGGGTACCAGGCCCATGCGGACACGGCCACCAAGAGTGGCTCCCTCACCAAGACCAAGTTTGTGGTGTGACTGTGGGAGGGAACAGGGCACTGCCCACGGGGTCCCCCTGTCCTGTCCCACAATGAATAGCTGCAACTGAGCGTGGTCGGTGTGTCCAGGGCTGGGCCAGGGCTCTGGCACCCTGGTGTGGCTCTTTCTTGGGGGAGAAGGGTCTCCTGGGAGGGAGACGATGAATTGCGGTATCCTGTACCTGCCTCCTGAGTGAGCTGGGCTGGGAGCACAGAGCTGGCATTGCCTAGGCATCACTTGGGGCACTGTGTCATGTCCCCCCCCCCCAGTGCCTGGGACCAGTCTTGGAGCTGGGAAGGTGTCCCTCTGCTCTGTGGGACCCTGGATAGTCCCCAGGAGTATGCTGGGCTCTGCTCTCCCCTGGCCAAGGCATGGGCACAGCTCACTGCCCTGAGAGCCTGAGTGTGGGAGAGGGCACCAGAGCTCACGCTCCTTGCTTTGTTCACAACCTCCAAATTGTGTTTTTCACAACACAACTTCCAAATTGGGTTTTTGACTGTTGGTTCTGTCCCTTGGCCCTGCTTGTTTGAGTTCTTGAGGTGGAGCTGCCCGCTCACCTCCTGGCAGTGCTGCCTGTGCTTTTGGCCTCACTGGAGTTCTCCTCCAGGAGGAGCCTCCTCCATTCTCTCCAGGAACACCTGGGCAGCTCCAGCTCAGCCTGGGGTTGAACCCTGTCCTAGGCAGCACATCCAGCCCATCTCTGCTGCCCCGTGAGCCCAGAGCCAGGGCTGCTTGTCCCCCATTGCTGTGCGGTGCCTGTGCTGGCTCTGCTGCCCTGCCTGCTCCTGGGGTTTGCAGAGAGCAGGTCCTGCAG